ACGGCCTGATGACTTCGACAATTGCGGAATTAGCTAAACGTTAGACCCATGCTCAATCCCTAAAAATGTGGTATGGAATCAAATGATGCAATCTTGCCAGAATCAACCTGGACGACCCTGGGAAGCTGGCGATGACCAGGAAAAATCTACGCTTAACAGTAGGATTTCTGACTGGCCACTGTCAACTAAGGAAACACCTCCATAATGTGGGGCTAGTGGACACACCTCTATGCAGGATGTGCGAACAGGAAGATGAGACTATCAGGCATGTCCTATGCGAGTGCCCGGAGTCATCATCAATAAGAGAGCGTGTGTTGGTGAGTCTTGGCCTACACCTGCTGATATAAAGGAGATGTCCCCAAGTGACCTGTCCACCTTCCCGGAAAGGACAGGATGGACGATGACCTAGGAGGACAACTCCTTGGGAGGATGTACAATGGGTCACATGTGACCAAAGTGCTGTGGGCTCACACTCACCCTCCCTACTCTACAGATACAGATAGTATTTAGGTGAAGTGTTCTCTAGTACACGACAGTTACGATTATATCATTGACAATCAGGGGAGAATCTCCACTTCTATTTCACGGTGCAGTGAAAGAGGGTTTGAGGAACATACCTGCCAAAACCCATGGTCGATAATTCATAAAACTTTGACGATTCATTTCAATTCAATTCAGTAAATTCACAAAAAGTTCACAGTATCTGGTTTTACCTTATCTTCAACTAGACACTGATCATTGCTCTATTCACGCGCATTAGTTCTCGAGCTAGGTGGCTAAGCAGCAGCTGCGGATCCACCTCGATAGGATGGTCGTGCCGTACTTTGACAGGAACAAAATTGAGATGAACACATCAAATACTGAGGTGGTCAACTTTTTGAAGAAATTTACCAACGTAAAGATCTTCGGGAAGTTGCGAATCAAAGGCGTTGATGAGCAGAAAAGCGCGCTGTTACCCTGGATAGGCGCCTAACTTTTCAGGAACACTTCAGTCTGGCGATCCAACGAGCTGTTGCGGCGATAAAATGCACGTATCCGCTCATTGCACATAACTTTATGCTCAATATTGATAAGTTTCTCATTCACAAACAAGTAGTAAGACCAGCTACGTTGTACGCATGTCCTGTGTTCTGCAGCCTCAAGAGATCTACTCCACAGAGATACGAAAGAATGCAGAACAAGGTGATCCGTATTTGCACGAATAGTGACAGATGCATTTCATGGGTTGATGTATTAGATCTGACTGAAGACAGGAGGCTGTCTCAGAAATTCTTTCTACCGAAAAATCCGCTGACGAGGGACGTCACGGTTATTAGGAGTTATAATCAGCCCCGTGGTAGCCGAATTACTATTACCATGAACTTTTTCCAAGAGATTCCGGACAACTGACATACGTTTATATACGTTAAATGAGATAAAACAATAAAAGAAATCACACCTCAAAGAGAACTTTCGCATGAGCCTCAACAGGAAGCGAAACGTCATAGACGGAGGCTAAAGCTAAAATCTGTTGAGCGGAGAGCTACTCGTTAACACCAGCGGGAGAGCCACCCACTGTCCAATAGGATGAGGGAATCTTCCAAAGAAAGGAAGGAAGTAATCAATTTGAGAATAAGTAACTCTATACATGGATGTGTAGATGATGCAAAGAAGTAATTTTCAGACACAAACTGAAAGAGAGTTCTTCTGAAACAGCTACTTTCATATAAACATTGAATCACATGAAAGAAAAAAAAATCTTTCGAAACAAATACCTCTATATGAACACGAAATTATACAGAAGATACTTTTCTCTACTCAGTTTAAGTTTCTAACATTTGTTGTGGAATAAAAATCAGATATCATTTACATGAGTTCTACATTGAATGAATGGTAATAAATTGCACTTACATGGAACACTGTCACCCTCACTGGTATACACCGATGTTTCGCCTTAAGACACTTGCCCCAAGGCTCTTCAATTCAATTCATTTACCTCAAGGGAGATAATCAATTATCTACTGTCGTAGGATTTATGTAGGAATTACTCGAAACTTTCAAATTGAAGTTTACTTTGTCGAAGAACTCGAACATCTCAAAGGCCACAATCCATCTCAGGTATGAACAAACATTTTGTGTTTTATTGATACGACCTTCTTGCTTGCAAGAAATTATGTTCAGACATGTATGAATTTTTACGCCTTCATTTACATTTGCTTGTTCGTTGCTAACTGATAACGCCCATAAACTCTCCCCAACTTTGGGAATAGCGGTTGGCGAACCTCCAATTTTTGGACAACTAGATGACTCACCACTGTTGGTAGCGACATAAGAGCGGATGATCGTAAGCCTCATGACTCAAAGAAAGTAATTGTTGCTTTTTATCGTTCATTTTAGTCTGAACGGGACGTATTGGCATCACAGAAGTAACTCTACCAAAACTGTCTGCGTTACTGCGTAACCCACTTCATCTAGCTGAAAAGTATCTACTTTTACTCAGTATCAATTATATTAGTTTAGTCTATTGTGTTGAAATTTTAAACCATTGTATGGTATGCATACTAGAGGGTAGATAATTCATCACTTGAATTAGACAACGAGGAAATCATTGTGACAAAATCTTTCATTTTAATATCATTCATTTCTCCTTGTGAATAAATCAAATTTTGTAGATTGGTCACGGAAGATAGAACTGACAATCTTCGTTACAATTTTTCTTTACCTTCTATTATTGTTAAAAAAAATAACTGTCTTTCTTAATATTTGACCGACGCTTACTTTCCCATAACTTTCATCAATAAAAGATTCGCAAATTTACTCCTTTCTTCTTTCTTTATACCCACTCCTGTCTCCACCGTTGAAAAGCTGGTAGGGCATTCGAGGAGGCAATAGCAAATCCACTTGAACACTTATCGTGAAAGTATCTATAGAAGAGAGACGAATTTCCAACCTTCATTCGATGTTTCAGACTATCAAGGTTGCAAGTGAGGTTCACGTCTCCAATCAAGTGGATGGTTCTTTTCTGGATGGAATTCAGCAGTATTATTAGGGGTGGAGCTTCATACATGAGAAAAATACTACAATGAAGGTCTGATCTGAGCTTTATAAAGCATCAAAATTTGCTGAGGTGTGTACAGTTTTCTGGTTCGTAACAGTGTTCAAAGCTTTTGAGAAGCAGCCTCTGCAATTTCGGTTCGGAGACATTTATCTTTTTGAAGAAAACTGATGCCTATTTTTGTGAAATTGAATTGAACCTGGTTGATTTCACCCCAATTTGGAATAACTTCTAGATCCTCATTAAGATATTCAACCTCCTGCTGCAGGTGAAGATGTGCATCCACAGCCGATGGTCTGGAATCCAAATGTAATGACGAGACAAGTGTACTATCGTCAGCAAAGCAATATATTGAATTCTTGTTTTTTCCAATAAGTCGTTGATATACAGTAAAAGGAGGGTTGAGGACAATATCGATCCCTGGGGAACACCAACGTTGATGGTGGAAGTATTCGAGAGATATCCATCGACTACCACTTGCAGAGAACGTTTTTTAGAAAGCTGAGGAGCCATACACAAAAATGATCCGACAAGCTATAGCAGGGGCCATAATGATTTTTTCAGTTTGTCCCAAGGGCCAATTTCTGCCCTTAACTATATTTCTACACTAGGATAGTCGCAAAGTACGTGACCTAAGCAAACTTACGATTTTTTGCATTTCAATTATTATTGTGAATTGTGACACTTAACGACATCTAGTGGCGAGTAGTGGTACTATGTACAATCTTTTTCAGCTACACGCTAGGTGGCATTAGGCGTAATTAAATATTTGTAATAACCGCGTCGGTTCGAGAAAGTTCTGGTTTTAGCTAATGTATTCCGATCACCTCTCGATGGCAGTAATAATTGCATATAAAAAAGCTAGCGGCGCAACTGCGAGTTAGTTTACGTAGGAAAGGCGAAGGAAGCGAAACTGTCTATTGGGAAATAAAGTAACACCCGTCAATGAAAGTATTTTGATTCGACTTATTGTTTTTAATGACATTGAAACCCTGGCATCGGAAGTCCAAATGGATATTATTGACTTACGGTGCAGTGATATGCTTAAGAACAAATATCAAAATTCATCTTTGTCGGAATTTTATAACAGTCTTCCACTGGAACAATTTGATAATTTCCATAAATTTGCTCGTGGGTTGTTTTCTGTTTTTGGTACTACTTACTTGTGTGAGAAAACGTTTTCCAAGATGAAGTACACAAAGAATGTTTACCGATCTCAATTAACCGATGAGTATCTTATATCTTTTTTGATGATTGTTACAAGTAAAATTGATCCACATCTACAGAGTATTGTCGGTGGAAAATCACAATTACATAAATCTCATTAGTGTTTTTATTTTACTGTGATTCATTTCAATTATTTGTTAGTTATTAATATGCTTAAACTTAGATACTTAAGTTAAGTTTTCTTTGTCATCATTTCTGTCGTTAAGTTTTACCTTGCAAGTAAATAAAACCGAGTAATTATCATTCTGTGTTTTCTTCTTCAACTTATCACAGCAATAGTAACAACAATTAGGTAATCATCGGCTGTCGCGGGCCAGATTGATGACAGTAAATCATTGGCTGTCGCGGGCCGGATTGATGACACTGGCGGGCCGGATTTGGCCCGCGGGCCGTAATTTGGAGACCCCTAAGCTATAGCAACGGTCAAAGGCCTTAGAAATATCGAGCCCAACAGCACTTAACTCTCCATGTTTCTCGATTGCGTTATTCCAAATATGGGTGACATACGATAGAAGGTGGCCTATTGATCTTTGTTTCCAAAAGCCATATTGATGATCGCCCAAAATGTTGAAGCCTTCTGAATATTTGAGGATATGGTGGTTTACGGATTTCTCCATGCTTTCTGATATCACTGATAGAATTGAAAAAAAACCCTTTTTGTCGAGAAAAGATCTTTGTTAATCCATAACATTTTTGCAATAATGCACTTGAGTAATATTGTTTTCCATTTTTTTCAGAGTCGAATACTAGAAGATGCTTCGATCATGTGCAATTCGTGGTCACCGAGGCACAATGTGAGTCTACCGAAAAATGAGTTATTTTCTTTCCATTGTACACCCCACACCATTCATACATATCACTCTCAATTTTCCGGTGCAAGTTTTATTTCCATAGTCATCCTATTAATTTGAAATATTTGCAAAAATTTTCATTCGAAAATCAATTTTTTTTTCATTTTTCAAGCATGGAAAAATAAAAAAAAATTCTCTTTTTCAGTTCTCATCAGTTCAGACTTTATTCAAATTCTATTAAAATCTCTGTTAAAATCTGTTTTTCCGTTAACTATCTGTCCCCTACGAACGATAACTCTAGAGTCGAAACTTGTGCGAGCTAAGGACTAACGAGGTCTTACTTTTCAACGTGTGATTCCTAACACGGGAAATTGAAATATATTTTTTGTTCCAAAGCCACAAACTCAGATTTACAACTAGCATGAAAGGTTTATAGAAAAATATAATGGATTTCTGCATGTTGAATTATGTGAAAATGCTGCTTCAGTGTTGAAAGCAAATAGCTTTGATGAATTTCAAAAGAATTTCAAAAACGTTTTTGCATGTGCCTCGAATTGATACCTTCAAAACTGTTGATTTGAATGTTTTCTCAGCTTCTCCTAATGAAATCTTTCTTTTGATTGTCGGTATTCAATATGGCAGTAAGAATATGAGTCAGCAATATCTACTACAACAATAACTTAAAGAATAAAAATTTATTGGCATTATCAGATGATACAGAAAAAAATGATGAACGAATGTAACCTATCACAACCGAAAATATCTAAATCAAAGTAATTTTTCGGAGTTGTTGGACGTGATCTGCAGGTTTTTATGTCTGACATTTCGTCTACTACTGCGGTAAAATTCATCAGTTGCGATGAGGAAACGTACGAAGAACTTTTGAGATTCTAATAGCAGATATTACATTATTTGTTTGGGTCTGCGGTATTATTCCATTGGTGGTGGGCGTTGTTTTATTCCCATTGGTCGATCTGAATGTCGTGATACGTTAGCAATTAGGTGCAGGTAGTCAGACTTCATTTATGTCAGTTTCCTCTCACTTTCGGTTAAAACCGTTTCTATCTATTTGAATTCTTACGACTAGCCTCAGAAGTTTTTGTTATCTTTTCCTGAGCAGGTGGATCAGCTCAATACAACTGTGGATTCTAGAAACTAAAATAAAAGACACGAATAAATTCCCATCTGAAGATATAACATGCCCACTGACTAGCGGATACAAAAGGACATGTCAATTTGAACGAATTCTACCTTTAGTTCCACCCTCAATCTTCCATATTCTGCCTACAGCAGAAATCTTTCTCATTCCCTCTCCGGAAGCCTACAACAGAAATCATTCTGTAATGGCATCATTGTTGGAAGGGAGACATGTATGCCCCTCCAGGAGCAGGCTATCTTTGGAAAACAGTGCTAATGTTTGGCTAACATACTTACGAAGAACCTATATCGTTTTGCTGGCAGCTTGACTTGGCTATTCGTATATTCCATGACAAGTAAGATCTCCAAACTAAGTTTCATAAAATGCATATATGTCATCAGCATAAGCCTGTATTTTACAATTTTCGATGGACGAGATGTCAGTAGTATAAATGATGAACGATAAAGGCCCCGAAATGGAACCCTGGGGTTCTCTAGATAGAATATCAAGATATGAGGAGTAGTGACCATCAACAAAAGCTTTTTGATATATACCCGGTGAGTAAGACAGATGAGAAATAAGGCAGCACTATCAAAACCAAAATATTTGAGTTTCACGCAGCTTATGATTGATGGTATCGAATACTTTCGAAAAATCAAGTAAAACCAGAGTACTAATCATTCCCTTATTGAATCCCTCAATAATATCTTGTGTAACAGTAGCAAGAGCTGTACCTCTACTGGAGTTCTGCCGAAAACCACATAGCGATGGTGATAAGAGATGATTATTATTGAAATATTCAATAATTTGCGAATAAATAACCCTTTCAAAAATTCCACTCATGGCTGGGGGTATAATTTCAATTCTTCAGAAAAACTGCAAAGTGCGAAAGTTAACGAGAAACGACAAGAAAGTCATGTATATCAAAACTTGTATGCGAAGTAAACACGTTTGTTCCTGATACACGGGCACGACTGAGGCGATGGTCCTGAAATTTTGTAGGTGTGTAAATATGGCTAGTTTTACTTTTGTTTGAAATTGGTTGACATGTTTCATGGTGAATTTCGCTAGTTCGAACTTCCATTGTATAAGTAATTTGAAATCTTCGAAAAAATAATTTTAAATGAAAATTGAAATGAATAGCTAAAAATACTAATCATATCAAGCAATAAACTCGTTTAGCGATATATATTTCTGGGTTTTAGTTGGTTTGGTAATTTCCATGGCTTCCAACAAATTCTTTTCTTCCCTTTATTACATATGTATTATGTCAGTGTTGGTGGTTTGACCAATCAACAGACAACTGTGTGGCAGAAATTTGGGAAACTAACATGAAATGTCATCGGAAAACGAATCCACATGTTTCTAGAAATTATATGAAATCGGGAAAGGTTAATGCAGTCAAGCTGCTGGAAAATAACTCCATGAAAATCAAAAGATAAATAAATTAGTACTTTTTGATCATTCCCATATTGATTTCGGGAAATCCTTGCGGTACCAACACTCGATCCACACCAACAGGATTTCGAAGGGCTTCCTACCGCTCACCGAACCCAGAGTTGCCTCCTTACATCAACTAAGTGACATGACTATCGGCAGCATTCGACCAAACGTTTGTACAAGTTAACTACGCTCTTATTTCGCCAGAGTGTGCTCGCATCGCACACTTGCCTCCGCTAACCTGTCAAATCAAGTGGGAATATTGTCCCGGAAGTGACAAGTCGAGATCCTAAGCTCGGATACTAGTAGCTCCGTCCATCCGGGTCCGACACCTCGAACGTCTGCCTTGGTACCCTCCAAGGCTAGACTAGGACACTAGTGCCCATTGGAAGGACCGCAAGCCCCGACACCTCAAACGCTGGGATCTATACAGAAGCAGGTGAGGATCACGAAACAGCATAAGCCGTCCAGTGTCCAGTAAGGGGATTCCCATCCCTTTACCCGCTAGTGGAGCCGTTGCCCCTAAGAGGCCGACGCTAGTTGGAGATGAGGCTCGCTAGCCTCCAGCCGCGAGCGGGCACTACATCTCCCCCCTAGAACTCATGTTAGGAAAGTTCCCTTTCCAACGTTTGATGAGTAACCGTCGAGGACTCTTCCAATCACCCTCTTCCACACATCTTATGTCGAAGATTTCGCGTCCGTTGTCTGTGTAGGTGCGGGATAATGCGGTTCGCCAACAACTGTGGTCTGCACCGCATACCCTTACGTTACCCCGAGGGGCACTCATGCTAGGAAAGCTACCTTCCCAACGTTGGATGAGTAACCGTCCAGGGCTCTTGCGAGATACTTCTCCCACACATCTAACTTGAAACCGGCCAACGCCTGTTGCCCGCAGATGTGGGATCGGGTAGTTGACCGATAACTTTATTGGGTGAGTGCCGTATGGTCTGCACCCGCGGGCCTGTCAATCACCCTTAAGAGAGTGACAGTGGCGGTGTTTTCGGATCTGAAGCAGGTTCTGATGTTGTACTTGGACCCAAGTATAGGAGAGGGCAAGTATTGGTTGTAACGGTTTCTCTTTTCCGTAAGGTTCTTGCTGTCTTCTAGTCAAAATCTGTTCCACCATCACTTCGGAGTAATCATTCCGTTGAAGATCTTTTTCGATGATGCCTAGTTCTTTCTCGAGACCTTCTTTTGTATTGCAGAGTCTAAAAGCACGATTCACTAGATTCTTGATGATTCCCCTTTTGGTAGATTAATGGTGGTTGTATTCGTGATTTAGATACTGTCCCTTGTGAGTGGGTTTTCGGTATACAGATGTTACCCAGTTAGCATTGATCCTCTTCATCAAAACGTCTAAGAATTGTAATTCGTTGTGGATTTCCTTCTACATTGTGAGGGCGATGGAAGATTTCATGCTGTTGATGTGCTTCAGAAAGATGTCTAGTTCTGTATTCCCATGGTTCCATACTAAGGAGGTGTGGTCAACGTATCTTAACCACACGATGGTACGATGTTAAACGCTGCGCTGAAGCCCGACGGTTTTGAAAATAACCGGGTGTGGCATTTTGTACATATATGTCATTTTGTCTGTACTTCCCCTACATTATCAAATCGTGCCACGAATGAGAAAAATCAGATTGAAGTTGTTTCCGAGCATTTAAACTTCTAATACCTTAATGCTTTCCAACCTATAAAGTAATATTACGCTTACGTTAATTTAACAACTCCTTCCATCAAGAACCATTAGAGCGGAGACTGTTATTAGGGCAATAAGTATAATCCAAGAGGCGAACGAGGAGGAGGTGGAGGGGATTCCGATGTCTGTGTAAGAGCAAACCTCACTCTTCGCATTACCGTCAAATATAAAGCTTAAAATTTAGAAATTCGTTGAGCCTATATACGGAGGGGCCACGAAAGTATAAAAACATCGGAGGGTAGCGCAAGTCGGTTCTTACAACTCATTTATAATTCATTTCGGCCTCACTTGTTGGAGAGGCCGCGTTCTCCCTCTCTGTTTTCCGTCCTTGTTTCCGGTACAATGCGCCGCACTTCCGCTGTTAAGTGCCGAGTTATTCGGCTCGATTGATTTCGTATTCATGGGAAGTTCGAGATATGATTTGATGAAGGCTGATAAATCGAAAAACTTGTTAAGGATCGACGGAAAATCTGATGGTGAACATTTGGTTTCGGTTCTGAAATAAACAAATGTAAATAGTTTTTCTGAATTACGTGAGAGAATTCAGGTGAAAGTTTTCGATCACGAATAAATCTAGATGAAGATGAGAACAGTCTTGTAGATCATTTCCCATTGAGGATTGTGGAACATTGACTGTTTTACTTGAAAATATCAGTAACAATATTACATTTAAACAATTGAGATCAAATTTGATGCATGTGATACTGGGTATCCCCACTGATTTGC